CGTATTCCCATAGGTAGATGGGGATCAGCTGAGAGTCAGCTGATGCGAGCTTGACTAACGTGACCTGCCAGAACTAACGCTACGCTAGATTTTCTTAACTAATTCTTAAATGATGGAAATGGTTGCGTCTCATCTGCTAGTGTCTTGAAATGCGTAATCATGTTTCACATACACGTTACATGCATATTGCTCAGATTAAGCTTTGTAAATCAGGATAATATTTCACTTTAATATGTTTACCAGCTTTGAAAGTTTTATAAAGAGTTCAAAGCCAATACCGGCTTTGTTTCAGACTCTGTTTTTAGTGTAAGGCAGCTTATAAACACAGCCACAAGTCTTTAGGTAGCTTTAGGACACATTGATGCTTTTAGTCTTCTACAGCTGATCTTTAGTAGATTTTCAGATTGTTCCAGCAATTCTGATCTATTCCTGTTCAAATTAAATGTGACCATCAAATAATATGAAAACCAAAATAATACATCATTTTAAACTTAAACTATATATTACAGGCACTATTCGTTTTATCTTCTTACCTAATTTGAACTACATTACACCATCGTGTTTATTAGCAATTGAAACGTAATAAAAGTAACAAATCAAAACAATGGATTGTGTCATTTTGATCTACTGATACAGAGTAAAAAAGTGATTCCACATGATAAAATACTAAAAAATGTCAAATTATGAGCTAAAATATGGTTCTAGTCCACCTGGTATAATGTATAACAATAGTTTTTAGCTTCAAGATGGGCTCTTATGTGCATCAGAAGAAAGTTTGGCATCTTCTTAAAGTTTATATTTGTTTCTCCCAAACCTTCAAAGTACTGTATGTCCATTGAGTGTGAAAAAGATGTAATATAAATGACCGGACACCAGCTGTTTTTGGCATGTAGAACAATCCTGTGCATGTGTTGCATATACAAGTTGTTGTTTTTTTATGATGTTTTTATTTTAAATATGGTTGAAAGTCAGGCTAGGGTTTAGATCCCATGGTTTGCTGTCTCTAGGCCATCTCTTACAAAACTGCAGAGCCTGTTTTGTTTCATTTCATTCATGTTAAATATTTCGTTTGTGGTGTATGTGAAATCTGAGGAATGCAGTTAATGTCTCAAAACAATGTCTAAACTAAATGTCACTGTTTTCTTTATTATTTTTATTCTAAAACTATTTACATGTGCTGTGCGAGTGTAATAAATCTATACCGTTACAGTGCAGTGTGTGACTGTCTGATTAGTTATCATTAGAAATATACGTTATCTTATTTGCAACTGAATTCAGGCGCTGACATGCGGGGCGATGGGTCTGTTACACCTTCAGTGCCCAGTACATCCATTATATATATATATATATATATATATATATATATATCCTGTTCATTCAGCTTTTTATTGTACTTGATGATACTGATGTTGTTAGTGATAGTTAACCCTTGTTCATCCTTAAGATTTTATTTCTTTTCTTGGCTGTGTTAATGCAAACAGCATACATTTTCGCCAAAATGTGTATTTTTATTGGAATTTCAATATTTCACCCTAATTTCCTTTCATGTATCTACTTTACACAAGATAAAAAAAATAGACTCGGGAGTCGGGACCTTGAGGCTAAAAATGTCCCCATTGAAACCAATTAAAACTGCAATATTTAATCCAGGTACCAATTAAAGGCAGGGTAAGCAATTTCTGGTAGCCAATGTTGATATTTGAAATCACCAAAACAAACACACCCCTACCCCAAAAGGGTCTTGCCCCTATTTTGATAGCTCCGCCCCACACATACGTACACAACCCAGGCAACGATTAGTTCTGTGAAACAAAGCAAAACCAATGTTACACCGTGTCTACATCGGATGTGAGCGGCGCGGCGCAACGAATCCCAGACAGAATACTGCTGCCGGGTTCTATTTATGACGTGCTGACACAAATTTCAAATGGTTTTCAACGGGCGTTTGATCGCGTCCAGTGTAGGCAGACTTTAGCTGTTGTAGACACGGTGTTACTCGCCTATCGAGAAGAAACAAAACAACCTCGGCGTCCGATCGCAGGCCTCCGCTCTTGAGTTCTCTCCAGTGCTGGAAAGATATTTACACGTGTCCTACTTCTTGCCTTATTGTTCCGCAGACGTTTTCCTCTTTTGTTTTTTATCCGCCATCTCTATCTTTCTGTCACTCGGCTCGCTAATGTCCGTCCTGTGCACTGAAAGCTCTCGCCTCCATATCACGAGTAGACACGCCCCTTACTGCTGATTGGCTACAAGTTTGTTTTGCTATTCGGCCCAAATCAGTTTTCTAAAGTGTTTTTGAAGAATTACATACCCCACCTTTAACCTGACAAAAAAAAAAAATTCCATATGCTAAATGCAGTGAAAATAATGCATCAAAATACATCTGTAAATAATCTGTGACTTATCCAAGACTATAATATAAAAAAAAAAATCTGTTTCCCATTTTGTAAATGGAAAATAATTGTATTTTCATAAAAAAAAAAAACTGGCATTATACAAACAAAATGGCATTTAAAGGGTTAAAATCCTGAAACTGATTAATTTTATTATTTAAATCATGTAATTACAAATAGAGACAGAAAACTAAATTGTTTTCATTTTTAAAAACATTTTTTAATGCTTTAATTTATATGCTTGTGCTGTTTTAATTTTCCCACGCTTATCTGTTGGATGATCAACAGTATGAATATACAAATCAATCACTACCTGCTGTTGTATTTCAATTTTACTTCAAAAAAGTACCAACGTTTTTTTTGTATTTTAAAACGGCAAACAGGTTGAGCATAAAACATATATGAGCAATTGTAATATCTTTTTTAGTTTGTTTCAGGATAGTAAGTAAATCTAAAACCATAACTTCGTCACTTGAAATAAAATATAAATAAAATACAACTTTTTATTTCAGCTACTTGCAACATTTCTCATTTAAACTAAAACTATTTTAAAAATCATATCAAATCATATTACACTAATATGGTTTGTTTGTTTGCTTAGTAAACACTGCAAATAAAAAAACACTACAAGTAATCAGGCCACAAGTTTCCAAGCACTGTTTAGCTCAACACCAACAAAAATTAATTAAATAATTAATTGAATTTGGTGTAAATGTTTTCAAATTATGTATGTGGTTTAGTGATATGAATATAATAATATAGTTGCTGTAGGATTCTTATGTCATGACAAATTTCATTGATTTTTGTGTAGTGTAGGGCCTGTATAAGCTAATCAGGGTTTGCTCACACCTGCACACTTGTTACAGGCTGTCCTTGCATGATGTAACTGCTGCTCCTCACACACACACACACACACACACACACACACATACACACACACAAACAAACAAACAAACAAACAAACCTTTTAAGCCCGTCCATTCTGCT